GGTAGAGACATCTGACAAATGGGTGGCAAATGTGTGTGTATGGAGGGGGCGAGGAGGGAGGGAGTATTAGGAATGAGGACAGTTTGGGGCAATTCATCTAGTTACACGATATGAAAAAGGTGGGCGCATAAGCGTGCTGACAGGAATTTTGATTTAACACATCCCATTTCCTGAGTTTGGTAACTCAGGAAAAACCTAGAGGAGGGGAGGGGAGAGTGAGGAAGTGTGTCTTGACATTCCTTTTTTTTTTAAAAAAGAGTTCTCAGATTTGCCGTGCCCACCAGGACCCTATGGGAAAGCATAACTTGTCGGGTGGCACACAGGCGGGGGCCGGGGAGCACGGAACTCGCCTGGCTCTGCCTGAAGGGGAGTCCCAGCAACAGCGGCTGTCAGTCCCTGGCCTGCAGGCTGCTTCCCCGGTGAGAGCAGAAAGCTGTCGGCCGGGTTCCTCACCCATGACCAAAGACTGAGCGCTTTTCGGTGGGTGACTACTGCTTTATTAGTCTTTCCTTATTGTTTTAAGGCAGCTGTCAGTTGAGCAAGCCCTCCTGGAAGGGAAAGGAATAGAGAATTATGTAACTCATGTGAATAAACTAGCAGTAACTTTGGGAGGATGCATGTAGCAAGGCCGATTTCTTTTCCAAAAACAAGGGAGTTAAGCAGCCAGTTCTGAGTATATGACAAAATTTATCTGCAGCAGGTTATGACCAGAGAGCTGTATTCTCAGGCAGTAACAGCTCTAAGAACAGCAGGCAGTAAAGGCCAGCATTCAAATTGGAATGGAGAAGCAAATTTCCCTTTGGAAGGGGGCTAATTTGCCAACTGGATGTATGTAGTGCCTCTGTTTTGTCTTTCATTTTTGCAGTGCCTGTAGTTGCATACCTTACTTTAGGCATATATACTGGAATAGTAAATATCAAATCATTTTCCTTGTCAAAGATGATGTATGTAAATTCTTTCTCAATATTATTTTCTGACAATTATTCATCCTTGAGATTATACTAAGGTAGGCTGAAAATACACATTTTATCCAATGCAGAACTGTTTTACCCAACTGGAATGACATGCACTTAGCAAAGGAGTCTGATTTCAAATACATTAAAAAAATGTGAAGTTTGCATTTTCTGTATAGCTAAGTTAACTTCTACTTAGTAAGAAAACTGCTATTTCTCACAGGATATGTCTAGCAAATATAATTTCAAAGGGATCAGAGTAGAGTTTCAGTATATTTAACCTAAATTCATCTGCAAGAAAACTCTGTAGCCCATACATTGTAATAATTTAATAAGTGTTTGCATTAAGTCCCATATGCAGTGAATTTTGTCAAAGTCAGTTGGTAGATATAAACTTTCTTTCTTCCTTCTCACTGCAAACACCTTGGTCTGTGCCTCCATTATCTCTCACCTGGATTATTCCACTAGCCTCTAAATGAATCTCCCTACTTCTCTCTCCTGTCTTAAGTCCTTGCAAACGAAAGCTAGAGCAATAATTTTAAAACAAGTCATAGAACTTCATGCCTTTACCAAAGACTCTCCAGGGAGTCCTCATCTTTCTCAGAGAAAAAGTCGAAGACTGTCCCACGGAGTAAGGCCCTGCAGTGTCTGTTTCTCCCCTGTTTACCCTTCCTGATACTTCCCTATAGTCTCTCCCTCATTTATTTCGCTTCTCATCTGTTCAGCACACCAAGCACACTCCAGTCGTAAAGATTGCATGTTTGCTATTTCCACAGGGGATGCATCCCTGAGGCATCTGCCTGGCTTCCTTCCTCACTGTCGGGTCTTAACTCACGCGCCATCTTCTCTGGCAGTCAGAGGCCTTCCCGCCCTGCTTCCCAACTCATGCAGAGTAAAACCCAAGGGTTTAATAATCTCCTCGTGATTACATTACAATTACCTCTCTAAAGGCATCTCTAAACATACTCCCACTCTCTCATTCCACTCCAGCCACACTACCCTTCTTTCTGTTCCTTAAGCATGTTTGCCTCCCTCACCCTCCTTCAAATGCCATTTTTATTAGCAATGCTTTCCCTTATCACCCTAATTAAAAGAGCAAATTCCCTCATCCCAGTCCCCTTCCTTGCTTTATTTTTCTCCATGGCACTTACTACCGTCTTGTGTCCTGTCTCTTTTACTGATTTCTTTTTTCTTGTCTGCTTCTGCACACAAGACTAGAAACTCAATGGGAACCTCACTATTGTCTCCACTAAAACCCTGCCTGACACAAAATAGTGTTCAATAAATATTTATTGGATGAATGAATTCTCTTTCAGAAACAATTCCTTTTTTTTTTTTTGCACAAAGTGGAACATTCCCCTCCCCACACACCATGTACCTGACCTAGTAAAATGGCTCTTATAATTAACATCCATTTGGTATGTCAAAGGACTATGATAGTGTGGACAAGAATGTCCCCTGCCGCCTGCCGTATCAGTAAACAAAGGATGTTGTGGGCATCAAGCCATCAGCCCCTGCAGTCACCCTGGACGGTGCACCTGAGGGGATTCTGGATAGGAGAGAACAGGATACTGGCTCCAGATAATATTTCAGTGGAGCCCAGACTCTTGTATCTTCCCATACATAGAAAAGTGCTAAATTCATTAACTTGAGATGTCTTGTTTGCTTTAATTAACAGCAATCTTTTGACGTTCCAGCTACCTGTCTTTTCTTGCAAAAACTCCTGTATATCTTGGCTGCGCCCTGACCTCTTCTGAGCCGTCCCTCAGAGCATCTGAGAGGCTGCCTCCCGGGCTTGAGGTCCTCAGCGAGTCCGCCGAATAAAACATAACTCTCAACTTTTAGATTGTGAATTTTTTTCAGTTGACAATAGAATTCAGCTATTGATGTTAATATCAATCACACAAGAACCTGTTATTCCATCTGTGCACCTACTGTGTCATCAACACATTTTTATTCTAATATTCGCAAAGTAGTATGAAATATATGTAGTACCTACCTTCAAGAGGCAATATTACAGTTGTGAAGAACCAATTAAGGATCCAAGGGACTAAATGGTGCTTTGAAAGATGGGTAGAATTTGGATGCGTGATGAGGCGTTGCAGAGGCGAAGATGCAGAAGCTAGAACGGGCCAGGGCACTTGGTGACTGTGAAGGGACCTGCCCGCCTGGTACAGAACATGCCCTGTGGGGTTGTTAGACCGGGAGTGTAAGGCAGAGTAGCGGTCTTCAAGTGTCAGGTCCAGGAGGCTCAGTGGTCCCTACCTTGTGTGTCTCACCTGGCACTGTGTGCAGACGGGGAGCCGTGGGTAGGGAGTTAGAGGATGCATGTTCCTGTCATCCTAGTTCTACTAATGAAGAAAAACTCAGATACCTGCGCAGTGACGTTAAATATCTTGCCAGCAGCCTGATTAGGACGTATGATGCGAAATTTTCTTGAATTCTTTAGTGCGAAATTTCCAACGAATTTTTAGATTAGCGCTTGCTTGCTCCAGGTTTGTTCTCAGACACTGAGAGACACAGATATTCTCTTTGGTATTCTTGAGAGAAAAGTGTGTTACGAGAGAGGTTCAGGAGTCTTTCCAGGCTGTTGACAAGAAGAGGGGAGAACGTTTCTATAACGTTCACACTTGATACCTTTCATAGTCCAGATGCTTTCATTCTCACTAAGTGGTAGCAACCTTTCTTTTTATTCTTCAGTTTTATAAGTTGTAGTTTTATAATAAAAACACCCCATATTCTAGAAAGCAGAAGTACCCAAGGAAAGGTTCAATAGTGGCATCAGTTAAAAGGCAAAAGCATATTTTGTTCATTAAAGTTCTTGTCTCCTTTTCAGTGGAAGTAATTCTGCATGATTTTCTTTATCGTTCTCACAGAAGAAATGCAATTCTGTTTCTTAACGCAGGCACAATGGCTTCTTAATTAACATAAGAAACCAATCTCATATATTTACTTAATAACGTAAGGGAAATCAGAGTGATTTTTTTTTTTAAAGGAGCTTTTAAGCTCTACAGGACTGTTGTCTGTGATTTATTTTGTTGGTAAGAAAAGAGTATTCCTATCACAAAATGCTGTGAAAGATCAAAAGTACGACTAAAATTTAGATCCCTGGATTGTATCTGTATACAGTCTAGTGGGGAGGGAGGATATTTCCATGAAGAAAACCTTAGAAATCCTTTGAAAGCTTCTGATATGTTAATAATATTATAGAATCTTAAAGTCAGAAAGAGCTTCAGAGTTACCCAGTTGAATCTCCTACACAATGTGAGAACTTCCCCAAGCCTTTTGAGTAGTACTTACAAACTTGCTTGTGGAGAACTTGCTGGTTTACAGGCAGTTCATTCCATTTGATTAAACTTTTGTTCCTCATAATGACGTGAAATATTTTTAATGTAAACCACTTCCCTTGGTCCTACTTCTAACTTGAGAGGACACAGGATTCTGAGTCACAAGCCAGGGACCACATGCTACCCATTCCCATGTGAGAAGATGTTTGTACCCTTCCTAGTGAGTCTTTTCTGGATTAAACATCTTCTTTTCCTTCAGCAGTCCTTCACAGGTCAAAGTTTCTTGATGTTTCACTGTATCGATCATCTCCTTAAAGAGCACTTCAGTGTTGGTGGGGCTATTACAACAACTTGATAAATTCTTTCTTTTTTATAGTAAGAGGAAGAATTAGGTAAATTTTTTTTTGTTTTCCTTTGTTGGTGTCATATCTTTTTCATATGTTTTAATCTGTCCTTTTTTTTTATACCTTCATATTCCTACAGTGTTTAGGAATGTGCTGATGGTCATTTACGTACCTTACTAATGTACAGACCACTGCATTTTACTGAAACTCAATGTGAAAGCACATCAAGTTAAAAGTATTACTAAAGTTTTTTTTCAAATTGTTTGCACTGTTTCTACTATTTAAAAGAAGATGTATATATAGAATACATTTTGTTTATTTCAGTGTCTTCCCTTTAAACAGTACTATGAATCAGATTTCATTTTGACTGCCGTCAGTAAAATTAGTAATGCAATTGGTCATTTTCTCTTTACAGGTTGTTCAGTTCAAGGGAATGAAGAATTCAGAATAATTTTGAGAAATGGATTCCAATATGGAGAATAAAAATAAGTTGAGACTTTGACCTGCTTTGAGGAAACATATTGTCCATTTGTCTAAAGTCACCTGTAATAGCCAAACCAGTCAAAATGAATTCAACGTTATTTTCCCAGGTAGAAAATCGTTCAATCTATTATAATTTTTCAGAGAAGAATTCCCAGTTTTTGGCTTTCGAAAATGACGATTGTCATCTGCCGTTGGCCATGATATTCACGTTAGCTCTTGCTTATGGAGCTGTGATCATTCTTGGGGTCTCTGGAAACCTGGCCTTGATCATCATCATCTTGAAACAAAAGGAGTTGAGAAATGTCACCAACATCCTGATTGTGAACCTTTCCTTCTCAGACTTGCTTGTTGCTATCATGTGTCTCCCCTTCACGTTTGTCTACACGTTGATGGACCACTGGGTTTTTGGTGAGGCAATGTGCAAGTTGAACCCTTTTGTGCAGTGTGTTTCCATCACTGTGTCTATCTTCTCTCTGGTCCTCATTGCCGTGGAACGGCATCAGCTGATCATCAATCCACGGGGCTGGAGACCAAGTAATAGACATGCTTACATAGGCATTGCTGTCATCTGGGTCCTTGCTGTGGCTTCTTCTCTGCCCTTCCTGATCTACCAAGTATTGACGGATGAACCGTTCCAAAATGTGACCCTTGATGCGTTCAAGGACAAGTACGTCTGCTTTGATAAATTTCCATCAGACTCTCACCGGTTGTCTTACACCACTCTTCTCTTGGTGCTGCAGTATTTTGGCCCACTCTGTTTTATATTTATTTGCTACTTCAAGGTAAGAAAACTGCCCCCCCCACCATTTCCATTTTTACCTTCTTTCTCCAAGAGTCCTCATTCAATGAGTGATTCTATTTGAACTCTTTATTTTTTTTCCTCCTGTAGATATATATACGCTTAAAAAGAAGAAACAACATGATGGACAAGATGAGAGACAGTAAGTACAGGTCCAGTGAAACCAAAAGAATCAACATCATGCTGCTGTCCATCGTGGTGGCGTTTGCGGTCTGCTGGCTGCCACTCACCATCTTCAACACCGTGTTCGACTGGAATCATCAGATCATTGCTACGTGCAACCATAATCTGTTATTCCTGCTCTGCCACCTCACAGCCATGATCTCCACCTGTGTCAACCCCATATTTTATGGCTTCCTGAACAAAAACTTCCAGAGAGACCTGCAGTTCTTCTTTAACTTTTGTGATTTCCGGTCTCAGGATGACGACTACGAGACCATCGCCATGTCCACCATTCACACGGATGTTTCTAAGACGTCTCTGAAGCAACCAAGCCCAGTCACGCTTAAAAAGATCCACAGTGATGATAATGAAAAAATCTGAACCTGCCGTAGCATTTGGTCCCAGGTGACATCTGCTTAAAACCAAGCACAACCCGCAAAGACTTTAATTCCCTGTTCTCCCAAGGAATAGGGTTGAAATCATTGAAGAAAGATCAAGATTTTCTTGTCTTGCTTTTTACTGCTTTTGTAGTAGCTGTCATAATTATATTTGGAACAAAACGTATGGGCTTTGGAATCTTCTGGCGATAGTTTTGACCAGACATCTTTGAAGTGCTTTTTTGTAAACTTATGCATAGAATAGAAAGGCTTTTATATTGTATTTATGAGAAGGAAATTTCTTTAAAGTATTACTGTTCACTGACTTTAGAAGCACTACACCTGATGCTCTCGCTTGATTGGGCCATCCTTGTTCGATGAGATCGTCAGTAGATTGGGCAGTCCTGTGTAAGGTTAGGCATCAAGCTTCAGCCTGTTACGGAGGTGATGGCATGCAAAAGCAGCATTCAGGGTGTGAGCTAAAAGAGAGTCTGTGTCCTGTATGCCTAGTCTGAAGTCATTCAAAAGTGATTTGCACTCTTTTGAAATTTTAAGACAGGATTTCATTTGCTCCTAATTGATTATCACGTAAGATAAAAAATACATTTAAAAATACTTCTCAGCTGTGAATATCTTGGGGAATTGGGCCACCCACAAGGATTAAGTGGGACAGCAGTTCCCTAACTTTAAAACTATTTTGGTACCTGACAACCAAATGATTTCAGAGCAGTTAGTTTAACAAGTAAATTAGTATTGCTGCATATGGTTGGATTATATTTATTTGAATTGATGGTCAAGAGGCTTTCCATTCTTCACAGACTTTTCAGTGTTTGTCAAGCTTCCTAGCATAAATACACACGTAATTCAAAGGCATTTATTTCCAGCTTACAATATATATAACCACAAAGTGTATTTTCTATACATCAGTGCCTATATACTAACTCATTTTTGACTTTCAATGTCCATCTCTCAAAGGACACCAAGGTACAGTGTTGAAAGAATGTCCACCCTGGGTAGCAGGGGTAAATACAGGAAAACTGAGGACACCTCACTTAGCTCATCTTAACTTGTGTGAACTGTGTGCCTGTGGAATCTTACCAATCATGCACTATGTACTGAGGGGTTGTGTCATGTTAATACACTTCATTTCATGTACCCTGTAATCATGATTGAGCCTCAGAATCATTGGGAGGGAAGATATTTTAAAGAACAAGACACATCTTTGATGTATGATACAGACATAGTATTAAATGTGTTTGATTTTAGAAGGGCAGACATTTTCTTTATTAAAATTGTTTCTGCTTTTTCTGAATAGTCTCTTTTGTGACTCTCTTTAGCTTCTTTTTTTTTTTTTTTTCCTTTTTTAGCCCCTTGTCTTCCCTCACATGAAGTTCTGCAGCATCCTCTGTCTGCTTGCTGATGAAGCATTTTCTACCCTGTGGTATAACCCTTGATGGTCCAGCCTCTCTCCCTGGCTTCCTGAAGCTTCATGAAGGCAGAGACTGTTTTACATGATTCTGTGTCCCAGTGCATTTAGCAAAGTGCCAAGTACCTAGAAGGTTTTTTTTTTTTAATTGTTTTTTAAACAATTGAATGAATAAATAATGACACAAATCCTTCCCTCTCATTATTGATCGTACTGACTTTACATTCTGAAATTTTCTTGGACTCCTCCTCCTAGGTTCATCTTTAGCAAGGAGGTGTTTTCTCTTTTATTATGTCACTTTCTAAACTAAGCAAAATGACATTTTAGATTTTAGAAACTTGCATGATTTGTCTTGTAAGACAAGTATTAGTCTTTTGCATTGAATGTTAATATGAGTTCAAATTATAGCCTAAGAATGACTTTTAGTTAACAAAGGAAAAAAATTCTAAAACCAACCTTTAATGTGTATTGGAAAATATCATCATCTTTCCTTACCAAAACCTGGAATTTGAAACTACCTGGTGTTTTCTGCTTTGGGGGATGAATGGGAGATTTTGTCTTTCTCTACTTAGGTGCTATGGAAACAAACTGCTGCTTGAGAACAGCCTGAAAATGCAGGTGCATTCTTGATAGCACATTTGCTGAGATACCATTTCTAAAATCTTCATTTAGCCATGTAGGCTGCTGATTCCTTACCTTTTCATAAATAATGACCTGAATACCAAATTCTCTTTTATCCAAAGACGTCGATGAACTAGTGGTAAAGTCTAGGGTCGACCACAGATCCACTGTGATTCAAGAAGAAATAAACATGCATGTTAAATACAAACAAACCAGGACTTCCCCGGTGGCGCAGTGGTTAAGAATCCACCTACCAATGCAGGGAACACGGGTTCGATCCCTGGTCAGGGAAGATCCCACACGGCGCAGAGCAGCTAAGCCCCTGCACAACTACCGAGCCTGCGCTCTAGAGCCCACGAGCCACAACTACTGAGCCCGCGTGCCTAGAACCCGTGCTCCACAACAAGAGAAGCCACCGCAATGAGAAGCTGCAAGGAAGAGTAGCCCCCACTCACCGCAACTAGAGAAAGCCCGCGCGCAGCAATGAAGACCCAACGCAGCCAAAAACAAATAAATTTATTTAAAAAATAAATAAATACAAACAAACCATTGGGTTTTCTTTAGAATAAAAATCAATTGTTGGCTTAGTACAAGAGCATAATTATAATGTAGCTTATACAAATTTAGAAGAAAATAATAGCCAGCATTTTAAAACACTTACCTGTGCAAGTACTATGTCAAGGGCTTAAGTACCTGGGAGGATGCATGACTGATGTGACCACATTACAGAAGAGACAACCGAAGCTCAAGTTGAAAAATTTCAGCCCCTCCCTGCGTAGCAGGTGCAGCAGGAACAAAACCAAGGTCTGGCCAGTGACACCAAGCCCATCAGTGTGCTGAACCTATGATAGAGTTTTAGGAGATCATTTCTCTTTCTTTCCTTACAAGGGACATTATTAGGACGTAATACCATTCACCTTCTTTCTGATTTCAGCTTCAGAAAAGACTGAAGTGGAAGAGTGGAGGGAAAATGGCCATGATGATTACAAGAATTCCCTTTTCAGATAATTCCACTTAAAATAGTATTTGATTATTCATACCACCTTTATTTCTTTACTGTTAACTGGATATTCTCATCCACAAATTTCCAAGGATATATACATGCACATTATAATATATCTTCAAAATTTGACAGCCAAGTAAATATGCATTTTGACAAAGTATTCCTCCGCAACAGTGAAAGTGGTGGAAAGAGGCCAAATTAAGCTGGAGTTCCAGGGATAACTCTAGCCTTGTTCAGAGAGTTCCTGGGCACTACTAGGTCTTTCCTCACAGCTGGGATTGCTTTCTCAGCAATCAGGGATTCTTCTGGAATGTAGTTTCTCAGTGAGCATGAATTCTTTCATAGTCTCCCTACTTTCTTTGTCTACTCATCCCTGTGGGCCATCAAACAACATGTCAGACTTAATAGTTGGAGCCTATGAGTAGGAGAGCATAGCTTTCTAGGGCAAATGAGTAAGATTTCTCAAATTTCTTTCATTTAATGATTTCTTTATTAATATATTTGTGTGTGTGTACATGCAACACATTGTAGATGTGAATA